TCTTCACGGTATATATCACTTTCTGATTAATATGAACTAGTATCAACTTACTGAGTTTATTTGTCTCCCCTATATCCTTTTTGCTCACTAAATTTCTGAGCAACAGACTACTGGCTTATTCTCAAGTGCTTAATAGATATTTATCTATTCTAGAACTCTCAGGTGAAATGGTTGTTAACTATTCTGTGTAGATGGTGATGAAGGTACTTATGGTTCTATGTTAATGACTCATGTAATAGACACTTTAAAGAAGTTGAAATTTGTCATCTATACCCCTAACTGCTGACATAGTATGCTAATGTGACTACCGAAACAAATTAAGATCAGTCAGTCCTGTAAGAAGAGCACTGCTAAGGCAGGAAGCAGCAGTCTGCCTAGTAAAAGACTGCACAGACTGTAGAGACATACTGCCTGGGCCAGCCAGCTGCACAAGCTCAGGTCTCTGTTGGATCTAACAATCACGAGACACTTTTCACTGTATTTAGAAAGCAATTTTATTAGAAATTTGGCCCTGGAGAAAATTATCTTCTGTGAAAACACTTGGTATCTAGATTATATACCTTTCTGTTGTTGGGATAAAACCCCATGACTAAGGCAACTTATAAAGAGAGTTTATAAGTTAGGTTTACAGTTCCAGAGGGTTATAGTCTAAGATAGAGGAGAGAAGGTATGGAGGTATGAAGGCAGGCACCACAAACAGCTGAGAGCTCACATTTCAGATTCCAAACAGAAGGTAGAGAGAACTAGCTGGAAATGGCATGAGTCTTTTGAAACCTCAAAGCCCGCTTCCAGTAACAAACCTTCAACAATGCCACACTTCTGAATTCTTCCCCAACAGTTCCACTAACTGGGAACCAAGTTTTGAAACTTGAACCTATGGGGACTGTTTTCATTCAGACCACCACACTATCTTAGCAGCAAATACTGTCCTTCTATTTGAACTGGTGTTTAGATCTGTCCAACGTCAGTCACAATGACACCTAATCCGAGAAGATCCCAAAGAAATATGTCATATGACTACAGAAGGCCTGCTCACCAGAACCCTGCTTCATTATAAATACCAGACAAGCCAGGCAGTGGTGCACACATCTTTAATCCCAGAACTCTAAAGAAGAAATTGCTTAAGAAAGAGACAATTAACTAGCTGGGTATGGTGCTGAACATCTGTAATCCTAGCAGTTGAGAGGCTGAGTGAGGCAGGAGGATTGCTGTAAATTTGAGGTCAGCTTAGGGAAAAAGGTGATATACTGTCTCAAAAAGACAAAAATGAATATATAACCAAACAATGTTTTTGTTTAAAAAAAGCACAGTGGGTTCCTGTTAATTTCGCTGTGGTAATAAACGTTATTATTTTGAGACAGGATTTCTCTGTGTAGCCCTGGCTGTTCTGGAACTTGCTCTGTAGACCAGGCTGGCCTCAAACTCACAGAGATCCTCCTGAGTGCTGGGATTAAAGGCGTGCGCCATCACCACCCAGCATAAACCATTATTTTTAATATGGTTTCCTCTTGGATATTTGTGTCTAGGCTGCTATGGTAGCAACAGCCAATGGCTCCTGCCTGAAAAACTTAAAGAAAGGAAGGAAGGAAGGAAGGAAGGAAGGAAGGAAGGAAGGAAGGAAGGAAGGAAGGAAGAAAAACAGTCAAAAGCCACTTAAATTATACCTTTGAATGGTAACTTGAATTTCAGATTGAACTAATATATATTTCTGTTTAAGCCCTAAAGTAGAAAGTCAGGCACGATGGTGTATATCTGTGATTCCTGTACTTGGGAGGTAGAGGTAGAGGATCGTTCTCAAGCGACACAGTGACTCCCAGGTTCTGTCTCAAGGAAGGGGGTGGGGTGGGGAGGCACATATATTTCCAGGTACCTTCTGGCTTAAAATGAAGAAACTTACTCAAGGCTCTATCAAAAACAGCCAAAGGCGGAGATACAGCCCAGGGACATAGAAATTCTCTAGGATGTACAGGTACTGGTTTGATTTTCAGCACTGCCCATTCTCCAAAACACAGCAAACCCTAAAGAAAAAGACTGCTATCACCAAAAATGCCCTAGGGAAGGAAGGAAAGATTTCCTTTCTTTCTTTCTTTCTTTCTTTCTTTCTTTCTTTCTTTCTTTCTTTCTTTCTTTCTTTCTTTCTTTCTTTCCCTGAGATAGGACCCCAGGCTGGACTGGAACTTGAAGTTCTCCACCCCTGCTTCTTGAGGGGCTGGGGCTGGGGTTACAGGTGTGTGCCACCATGCCCAGCATTTTTATTGTTTGCCAGTATTGTTCACAACTAAGATTTAATTTCAGCTTACAGAAGACAGTTATTAAATTTACCATGAGAAGGTAAAGGAGTCTGTAACTTTTTAAAAAGCAGATCCGTTTTGACCCATTTATCCTGTACATTAGGTAACTCCCTCTGATTATAAGCCGTCATGATTTATGCATGCTATAGTAAGTGGTGTTTTGAGATTCATCTGTAGGATAAATCTGTGGTAGGCGCAGACTTTAAGATTGCAAAGAGGGAAACCAAGTGACTTGTACCCACTGACATTCCACAAGAATCATTTCCCAGTCTGTAAAGACAGTGGCTTCTGCCTTGACACACCCTACTCCAAGATACAGGATATGATTCTTTCCTGTTTATTGGGGCACTCATTATTTCAAATCCCTGGGAGGCAGTCCATACCATCTCTTACACAATTCTAAGTATAACAGGAGGGCATTCATTATGGCATATCTAAAAGTAGACTGCTTTCTAATCTCCATAGTTTCCCAAAATAATACCATGCTGCAGAGCTCTTGAGATAAGGCTGCATCACTGTCATTTAGTTCTGTGGGCTTTTCTTAAGAAATAGTCCAGCATCACATATTGTACAACAACCCACTAAACTGAACCCTAACAATTTACAGAAACAAATCAGTCAATGTATTCTCCCCATAGTAAAGTCTGTATTGCAAGCTCATAAGCAACACTACTATACATAGATATAACATTGTTTTTTCTCATAAAACACTAGCATTTCTCCTGCTGACAGTCTGGGAGTATCTCCTCTTTCCCCAGGGCTTCATAAATGCTATGCATAGGCTCTACCAATAAGCTGTAACCCCAGTCCTCAGACCTCAATGCTGTAAGAGATGGAAAGTCAGTGCGGTATATACTCAGTTATTCTTGAGGCTGAGGCAGGAGGATTGCTTGAGTCCAGGAGTTTAGGGACAACCTGAGCAACACAGTGAGACCCTGACTTGAAATAAAACAACAAAAGGAGCAGTGGATTATTTAACAACTTAGTGATGCTTCAGGTAGTGTACACTCATCAAAAGACTCAAGATTTTCCACTGAAAGTTGAATTTCTTATATTACTTCCAATTACTTAAGCCTTTGTATTAAAGCCTTTGAGGTTTCAATAATGATAATTTCTTGTTATTAATGATCTAATATTGGATCATTTATGAATTACAAACATTAATTTTTTTTCCTCTCAGTTTAGCAAATGTCACAGCAAGTCCCTCTTCCTGAAAACTTCATTGGTCAGGGGCCAGTAAACAATACTGCCTAAGATTTTATCAGTCCTTCTGTAGTTAAGTTCTCTACACAATGTTTAGCATGCTATCAGTAAGACAAAGGAATACCAAAGTTAGCTGCAGTCAGGTGCACCTAGAGGTTTTTTCCAGGCTGTCTTATTTCTTTTCTTTCATTAGTTCTTGGAAAATTTCATACAATGTATTTTAATCATATTCACCCTCCCCCGCTACTTGTCCAGATCCACCACCCTTCCTTTCCCATCCAACTTAGTGTCTCCTCCTACCTTTACATCAAGGCCAAACTGTGCTGCCCAAGTAACTCTTGGATGTGTACCTTCCCACTGGAGTGTGGTTAACTTATCAGGGGCTACACTCTTAAAAACTGACTCTTCCTCTCCCAGCAGCCAAAACTGCCAGACATGACCATTGGTGTAATAGTGGCATTGATGTTACAGGAGTAACCAGCCACTCTCTGCTTGGCTTTAAAGGCCTGCTCTACAAGATGAAATATATACCTGACACCATTTGGAGGCTCTTATTTCTTAGTTTCACACAAAAGAGCATGTGCTTAGTAACTCTGACACTATTTTATGAAAAAATTTAAATTAGTTTCTTAAATAGCAAAGTGAAATTTTACTCAAAGTACTATTAATTAGCGAAACATCTGAAAATACACATTTTTATTTACCTGTGGAAAGACTATCTTACTAGGATGTGCATATATAATTCTTTGTAATTCTACTTATCTTTAAAATGAGATACAGATGTCTGATTTTACACTTAAGATATTTCAGGTTAAAGGGAAGATGCTACTTTCTTAGGCCATGGAGTTACAAAGATTCAGTAGAAAATGTAACTCTCAGAAAGAGCATTTAAAGTGTTTAAAGCTCAATCAATATTTTGAACACTGATATAAGAGTCTATTAAAAGCGAGAGAAAATTACAAACACACTTAAGCTCATGTCTAAATACACTAAAAGCAAGAGGAGATGGGGTGGTTTCTCATCCCTTTAATTCTAGCACTGAGAAAGGAGACACAGGCAACCTCTGAGTTTGAGCCAGCCAGGGATATATGGTGAGACTCCAGTAAATAGATAATAAATAAATAGGAGGAAAATACAAAGGAACAGGAAATTAGATGGAGAGATTATAAGCCAGTCTATTGCAGTCTTCTCCCTAATACATACTGAACAAAGTCAACAAACAGACACACCCAGTGCCACTAATGGCACTGAACCTGGTCAGCTATATTCAAAGTGCCTGTCTGGTTGGTTATTGGATATGTTTCTTCTCTGAGCACACACAACACAAAACAGACCAGCAGCGTGGCTGGCGCCTCACAAACATAGACCCTCACCTCAAGGAGAGGGTGCTGCAGTGCCACAGCATTTGGTTTACTGCAGTTTGGTCATCAGTCTTTCCAAGATACAGGGAATCTGAGCATGATTCCCAGGGCAGGGAGAGAGCTGTAGGACTAAGACAGTCTTTACCTTTTTGTGTTGTGTATTGTTGTCCCTCCCAGAACAACCCTCACTCCAGGAGTTGTGCGGTTCAGGTTATAAACTGTTAGCGCCTCTTCATAGGTGGCTCCTCCAATAACAAAGACGATGATATCCTGAGGCCTGTCACGATGAGCACAGAGAGAGAATGTCACAGGCTAAGACATAAGAAGGGGGCAAAGATTTGTTATTATTATATACATAGTTTCAATTTCTAACCCCCCCCCATTTTTTGGTGAAGGAAGCAGAATTAAAGCCGAATAAAGGGTTTAAAAAAAAGTTTTAATTATCTCAAATTGGCAGGAAACAGAAAGAAATGCTGAATAGTGATTTGCTTTCTGCTTATGAGCGGATGTCTTATTTCTGTGCTGGGGATTTCAGAATAGCACAATGGTGTTTGCTGGAACCAAATGCAAAAATATTCTTTTATATTCAAGGGTATGCAGAGCGCTGTACTGCAGCCTGCTCTCAATAAGCACAGTTCACACTTGCACCACATCTCCTCTCATAGACAGCCCTGTGTTGAGCACTTAGTTACAGTGCTATTCACTGTGGCCCCTGCCCAAGGACTCCAAGCAACTGGCAGAATACTAGTGTACCAGAATGTCCCTATGCTGTGGGACCAAATCATTTGTGTGATGATTACATGAAAGAACAGGACACGGGGCTGAAGAGATGGCTTAGAGGTTAAGAGCACTGGCTGCTCTTCCAGAGGTGCTGAGTTCAATTCCCAGCAACCACATGGTGGCTCACAACCATCTAGAGTGGGATCTAATACCCTCTTCTGGAATAAAGGTGAACATGCAGATAGAACACTCACAGACATAAAATAAATAAATAAAATCTTTAAAAAACATAAATAAACATCGTAATCCCACTTCTGTATTCTTTGATAATAACAAGTGCACAGTTGGACATTGGTCACTGACACATCAGCTCAGCCACTGGTTTCATCTGGGTGGCACTAAATTGTTACTTGTGTTTCTATCTAATCAAGATGGTTTTGTAATAAAAGAAAACTCTCTTCCTATCAGCTCCTGAAGGTGTAACAACACATTTTTAGCTACTAAAGTTTGTCTTTTTTTTGTGCCATTAAAAGAAGAAAAAATTAACCAGGCAGGTATTTTGTTACAACACATTATTTAAAAACTACATCAAGCAGAAGCATCCATTTTGGAAGTTAGAACCCAAAGCTAGTCAGGATACAGTTTACAAGCAGATTATGGAAAAACACAAGTGTACATTTCCTCCTTGTGTTTACTTGTGTCTTTCTAAAATACCTGGAAACAAGTAAACCAAGAGAGTATTTATTTCTTACAGGATTCATGGAAACAAAATCAGATACTGTAGTTATTTAAATAAGTTCAGATAGTTTGGAGAGTCTGAAAGTTTGTTTGAGATTTTTGTTTGTTTGTTTTGTTTTTAGAGACAGGGTTCCTTTGTGTAGCTTTGGAGGCTGTCCTGGAACTCTCTCTGTAGACCAGTCTGGTCTTGAACTCACAGAGATCCCCCTGCCTCTTCCTCCCGGGTGCTGGGACTAAAGGCGTGTGCCACCACTGTCTGGCTAGTATGCAAGTTTGAAAATATGAAGAGGTAGTTACTTTGCAGTTAATTAGTTAACAGCCAATTATGACACTTTTACGGAACTTGTGACATAAAATCTTGCCTTTAAGACACTAAATTTATTTAATTTTTTTATGATTATATGCATGGATGTTTTGCCTGCATGGATGTCTGTGCCCATGGAGGTCAAAGATGATGTCAGATCCCCTGGAGCTGGATTTATAGACAGTTGTGAGTCACCATGTGGGTGCTGGGAATTGAATCCAGGTCCTCTGGAGGAGCAGCCAGTGCTCTTAACTGCTGGGCCATCTCTCCAGGCCCTAAATTTACCTTCTAAAATAAACTTTATTTAAAACTCCCACCAGAGGCTGGGGATATCCTGGCATGTACAAGGCTCTGGGTTCCATTCTCAATACCATAAACAAACACAAACCACCCAGGCCAAGCAATGTATCTGGCCACAGTGCTCTAAGAGTTACACCCTGCTACATACTTTAAAAGATTTTACAAATTCATATTTACAAGATACAGCTTTGATGTTGGATGTGGTAGTGCCTATGGGACATACCAGCACGTGGGAGGTATAGGAATCTGGAGAGTCGAGATTAATCTGGTCTATGTAGTGAGCTTCAGGCCAACCAGGCTCGATCGTGAGACAGCATTTTTGTTTTTTGTTTTTTTTTTTAAATCATAGCAAAGGAGATTGGGCCATTGGGTAAAAGTGCTGGTCACCAAACCCAATGTCCTAAGTTTAATATCCAGAACCTACATGGTAGAAGGAGAGAACACATTCTTGCAAATTGTCCTCTGAACCCCATACATATGTATAGTGGGATGCAATTGTGTTCCACTATAAATATGTTTATACATACACATTAATACATAAATAAATAAGTGTAATTTAAATGTCAAACCAAACAGCCAACCAACCAACCAACCAACCAACCAAATAACCAAACAGTAACAGTTAAAGACACTCCAACTGTTTTGAAGTGGATAAAGGCAAGTACACAGCATAAAACACAAAAAGGCTGAAGACATTTCTTGACTCTTGCTGTGTCATCTCTGTCCCCAGTTGTGTCCCTCCTCCACCATTCCTATAGAGACGAATACTGTTGCTCGTGCGCATGCATGTATGTGTGTGTGTGTGTGTGTGTGTGTGTGTGTGTGTGTGTGTGTAGGCACATGTATTCCTGTATACACTAAAACATGTATGTAGCTGTCAGAGGATAACTTTCAGGAACTGCTTCTCTCCTTTACCACCTGGGATCTGGTCAATTCAAATCAGGGCATCAGGTCTGGCAGCAGATGTCTTTGCCATCTCTCCAGTCCCCATACTGTACATTTAAAAATTTGACAGAGGGGGCTGGAGAGATGGCAAAGCCATTAATGGCCAGGCTCACAATGAAAAATCTGATGGAGGGAACTGGAAAGATGGCTCGGTGGATAAGAACAGTTGCTATTTTTGTGGAGGACCCAGGTTCAGTTTTTAGAACCATGTTGTGGCTCACAATCATTTGCAACTCCAGTTTCAGGGAATCCAACCTCCTCTGCTGGCCTCTGTGAGCACCAGGCACACAGGTGCTACACTTATATACAGGCAAACACTCAAACATATAAAGACATCTAATCATTTTTTAAAATTTAGAAATTGGGTATGGTAGCCCACACCATTAAAACCAGCACTCAGGAGGCAGAGACAGGAGGATCTTTGTAAGTTTTAGGCTAATCTGGTACACATATCATGTTCTAGGCTAGCCAAAGCTTCACAGCAAGAGCCTGTCTTTTAAAAAAAATGTTATTATTTTTGGGAGAGCACTCTCCAAGTTGTTTCGAGTATGCCATCACACTAACAATCCAGCAGTGCAAGGTCCTGCACGTGTCAGGACCACGCACTTCAAAGCTATGGGTCCCTTTAGATGTGCAGGCAACAAAGCAGAATCTCATGATGACTTCTTACTGTGATCTGGCCATTTCATCTTAAGTTATTTTCAGGCAGTTTAGCTCCAGACTCCACTAAGTAACTTCTGTTGTCAGGGTTGGACCACGTTGCTAACTCCACGTTAACTGTCCTTTAGTCTCTGTCTTACTTCACCTGCCAACAGCATTAGACAACTTGGTTACCTGCTTTTCCTGGATAAAATTCCAGGGTATTATGTTCTCATTTTCCCCCTACTTTATTAGAGGCCATTTGTTGCCGGTCTACTACTGGGCTAATTCATAATCTGTACACACTGTGCGGTTTGAAAGAAAATAGCTGACAAAGGAAATGGCACTGTTAGGAGGTGTGGACTTGTTGGAGGACGCGTGTCACTGTGGGAGCAGGTGTAGTACGAATAGTAAAAACCCAGAGACAGATATTGGGGCTCAAGATGAAGATCAGAAAAGCAAAGCATCCAGGCCACCAGAGAACTCTTACCTCTACCAAGGCTGGGGTGAACCTGACCTTAACATGGCTGAAGACTAATTGCCAGAGACTGAATACTGGAATGCCTTGCTCCTATCTTATAAACCTCTCTAGTGCTGGGATTAAAGGCGTGAGCTCTGTTTCTCTTTTAGATGATTCACTCTCATGTAGCCCAGGGTGGCCTTGAACTCACAGAGATCCATCTGCCTCTGTATCCTGGGATTAAAGGTGTGTGCCACCACTGCCAGCTTCTGTAGCTTTGATTTCCGATCTTCAGTGGCTTTATTAGATCATAAACAATATATCTTCATAGGCAGGCTTTGAGGTACCTTTTGCTCAATCTTCCCTTAGTGTGACAGTCAGTCGACTTCCTGTTGCTGGAAAAATATAGGACTCTCAGCTAATCCTCCAGCACCACGTCTGCCTGCACTCTGCCATGCTCCTTGCCATAATGATAATGGCCTGAACTCTGAAACTGTAAGTGAGCCCCCTCAATTAAATGTTTTACCTTTTATAAGAGTTGCTGTGGTCATAGTGTCTCTCCACAGAACTAAGAACCCTAACTAAGAAAGCTTCCCGCAGATCTTCTTCAAATGTGATTTAATTAAAATAAAATTTTAACCCTTCAGCAGCATTGCTGCTGCTGCCTGCTATGGTTTGAGGGTTAACACACTGAAATGTAATCCCCATTGTGAGGCATTAGGAGGGTAGAAGCTTACTCTGACTACAGTGTTTGTGGTGCTGGTGGGGACTCTGTGGTGATCAGGACTAGCTAAGGTTCAGGTAAGAGCCCTCAGCACTGTGGTTGATGGAAAAAGAGACAGAACAGCAGGTGGAGACTTCCTATTCTCAGAAACTGATGTTGTTTTCAGTAAGATTTCATGTGCAGTGCTCCTTGCAGTTGAAGGACAATCCTGTGGCTCATCAAGCAGTTTGAGTTTGAATAAATACTGACAGATTGCACAGATTATTAAGAAGGACAGACTGGCCAGACGTTGGTGGTGCACGCCTTTAATCCCAGCACTCGGGAGGCAGAGGCAGGTGGATCTCTGTGAGTTCGAGACCTGCCTGGTCTACAAGAGCTAGTTCCAGGACAGTCTCTAAACCCTGTCTCAAAAAACAAATAAACAAACAAAAAACAAACAAAACAAAA